CAAGTTTTAATAGTTAATCATACAAAATTTAACTGCAGACTGTGAAAATGACACTTATGATATTTTGATAAATTTTCCGTCTCTCTGATATTATATAAATGTATTGAAAATATTAAAATTAATTAATCAATTTCAACTATAAATAGAATAAATAATAGTAACAATAATAACACTAATAACCAAAATTTTCTTCTATTAAAGGAATTTTTTTTTATTATTATAGAAAATATATGTTAGAAAATAAATTTACTGTTTGATTTGAAACAATAAAAATATATTTTCTGTAAGTAATTTTCAAAATAACATTTGACCCAATTTTCTTTCTGTTCGGTAATTGTGAATGAGTGCGATAAATAAAAAAGAATAAAGTGGAATAGAATTTAAAGGAATACAAAAGCGAAAAGGATTCTAAAAAAATATATAAAAATGAAAACAAATGAATTATAAAGTTAAACAAGTAAAAAACTATTGAAAAAACATATGAAGGGTATGACAAGTAAATAATTTACTTGATTTTTTATTTTATGAAAAAACCTCAATTTCGAAAAATTGGCCCTTGACCCCTTTTGTCGTTTCTACCCTTCATAAAAAAAATTGTAAACTAAATAAAGAACAATTACTTTTTTCTTTGTTATTTAAATATTATATGCATCAAATAAATTGTCAGTTTTATATCATACAAAATAAGAAACAACATTGTAAAATTATCACTGTCTATAACTAACAAAAAATAAAAAAGTTTGGAAATATTGCTTTATAAATGACAAACAGCATGAGTAGAATATCTAAAAGGAAAAAGTTATTTCACTAGGTATATATATATATATATATATATATATATAATAAATGCAAAAGCCGTTGAATATCATCCGTTAAGAAGACAACTTTATAAACTTTAATGCTCACCATACTTGATGATAAAAAAGTTTGTCAAAAAACCGGAAGTGAAAGTACTCAAGAGTTTTACTAATAGCTTTATATAGGATAATTTTTCTGTTGAAGGTTTATGGTTATACCGAGAGAATTTTAATTCACATCGTTTATTATATATGTGTTAAAAAATAAAACTTAGATAAGTGTCCCATAAAAATGTCCAATTTAACATAATTTCTCTATAATTGCAAATTTCACCTTTATATTAAATTATAAAAAAAAATCCAAATTTACTGCATAATAATTAATTAAAATTAATTAAATTTTAGTTAATTATTATTATTATTATTATTGAAAATTCATGATTATTGAAATCGAATAAAACAAAATTGTTATTTTTGGTGTAATTATAAGTTGAATGGAATAACTTTGAATTCGATAATATTGAAGAAAAGCTTTCAATTAGCCATTGCATGCAACTCTTCCATTTTCATGACTAACGTAAATTATCAAGTGTCTATCGCGAATTACTGTTTGATATCTATTATTTACAATTACCGATCTTATGTGTATTTGTATCAACCATCATATAGCACGAAGCAATAAGCGATTATTTTTTCTGTCCCTTCCCATTTTGATCTACTGTTGACATTTATCGCTTCTGACGTTAGTTGAAAAATATATTGTGTATAGTGCTTTCGACGCCCCAATGAAACCGCCTCTTTTATACGCAATATAACTACATCAAAGCGTCATGATTTACTCAACAAACAACCAGTTTCATTTTACTCACTTTCATACAAATATATAATAAAATTTCTATTTATCTCTTTATTTATCTAACATTTCATTTTGTTTATTTATTTTTTTTAGCAATTTTTTTTTAGCAACTAATTCTATTAGAATTTTATATATTTTTTATTTCATGAATATTTTTAATTATTGTATTATTTTAATTTCACTTTTTATCAAAAATTTATTAATTAAAATTTAAAGAACAAATTTTTTTTTTTTGAAAAAAATGTTATAGTTTTATAAATTATTTAAGAAAATTATAAACTGTCGCAAAAAAAAGACGAATTTTAATTTCATGCTTTTGATTCTTTTATTATATTCCTGTGTAAAAGAAACTGGGTTTATTTCTGAGAAGCAATTTATGGTAATGGAAATAAAAAATTGTTATAATAATTACACGGAAATCATTAAATCGATCGAACTCGTTTTCTTTATAGAGGGAATAACCGACTTTTATTACTTCACTAATTAAGAAAAAAGAAAAATGTCAAGTAAAAGTAACTTTTCACCTCTTCATTGTCACTGTAATTTAAAAAAAAAAAAACTTTCTCTGTCCAAGGAATTTTATTTTAAATCTACTTTTTATAATTAATTTCTTACATTAAAATAATTACGATAAATTTTTTGAAAACAAAATACAAAATATTTGTTAACTGTAAAATTTTTTTTTTTTAATTCAAAAAGGAATTTAAAAAAAAAATTTAACTTTTTTAAAACTTTTTTTACAAATAATTTTGATGAAATAAAATGATTTTACCATGTGAAATTTAGAAATTCGAAAGCAAATCATATTTATAAAGTTTCGTAATCAGTGAACTTAACAATTCACTTAAAAAAGTAGGGAACTAAAATATAGTTAAAGAGTATCTGATTGGAAAAAAAAAGTTGTAACAAATTTTTAAACACGATTTTAAAGTGGGCTTGATGATTGCATCAGCAAAGAGTGAATAATATTGTTTGATAACAATATTTCTAAGAAGCAAATATTAATCAAGATAATTTATCTAGAAAATATTATAACCTAACCCAACTTGATTCACAGGAGAGAATACTAGATTGCAACCAGCATGCCTTGTTTGCTATATATGTGTAAGTTTGATGCAGTGGTAAGCAAAGTGTTGTGTATATTTAATTAACTACTTGAGCCAGAATTCAACGGGAGGCTTATATCGTTTGTTAATGTGTAGGTGGATAGTGGATTCCAATATATATAGTTACAATTATAAACAAACTTGTTCTCATCAAAGTAGATAAGTCTATCACCAAATAATTAAGCATTCAAGCTTCTCAAATCATACAGGAATTTCGAATATTAATTAGCTTCGCTGTCAGTTACCGCGATGCACTTTAGAAATAGATGAATTTTTAATATAAAAAAAGTATTTAAAGTTTTTTTTTTAATTTGAAGAAAATTTTTTATAAATTTTATTCTCATATTTAGAATATATAATACTTTGTACTTAAGAAAAAATGCTCAAATTAAGAAATATTCTTACTGTAAGAATATTATTACATATTTTATTTAGGAAATATTCTTATTTTTAAATTATTATCATTTTATTAAGAAGTATTCTAATTTAAAAAAAAAATCCGATTTTAAGATTATTATTCTTTTCTTCAAGTATTATATTCTAATTCAAAAAATAAAATGCAAAGAAAAAATAAACAAAATAATCGTTTTCTTAAATGAAAAAACATTTCAAAGAGGAAAATTTTGTTTAACATTCATTAATTATAATGTTCTTACAACGTTATAATATATATATATATATTGTAAAATTACTATAAATACTTTATTAAGTAAACATCCATGGAAAATTTATCTATTAAAGGAAAGCCTCTTATATAACTATATATATAAATATTATTATAGTTTTAAACAAACTTCACGAGAAACTTACGCGAATGAAATTGCATCATATGATTTCACGTAATTATAATAAGTTAAACTGCGTTTATATTGAAATTCTATAAAAGTAAAGAGAGCGCGCGTGTATATTTATCCAAGTAAACTAATTACTTTCTGTAATTTAATAAATTAACTAATTACTCTTTCATTATGTGAACCTTTTGTAAATGTTTAACAAAATTGTTCTGATAATTTTATCAAGAATTTTCAGTATTTATCAAAATTTAAATAATTTATCAACAACTTTTGCATATTATGACATTTTCTAATTAAAAAATTTTCATTTAAATATTTTTTTCTTTTTTTTCAAAATTTTTTTTTTTTTTAATGGAAAAAATTATTAAAATAAAAATATTTTAATACTACTGGATTATTGTTAAATAAAATTATAAATTATTTTATAATTATACATATTGTAATAATTATATGTATTATAATAATTATATAGATCAAACATTTTGAATAAATGAATGAGCATATAATGAAATTGTTATGTGATCCATAAAGAATTGTATAAAGATGAGTATATTTTTATTTACTTTTTTTTTATAAATTTTTTTAATCTATATAAACTTTGAAAATGTTATCAGTAAAATGTCAAATATACTTTTTTACGTTTACAGCCGATATTTATGTGCTAAAATGAAAAATAAATAAAAAAAATTCTCTTTAAACGTATTTTATTCTTGATCAATAAAAATTGTTTTTATTTTTTGTTTAAAATTCCATATAACGCGATTTTATATTTTTCAAAATATTATTTTTTTCAATTACAAATATAAATCAAATTCTCAATCTCGTTCAAGTATATTTCTAAAAAAAAACAGCAATTCATATGTAGAATTCAAGAAAATCAAATTCATTAAAACTTAAACTAAATACAAAATTTCAAACTAGTTAAAACTATTTTGCAGTTTCAACTTCTCTAATTTTGTATTTACATTATGAATATATTCATCACATATTATTATTATTATTATTATTATTATTATATTTATTATTATTATTTTTATTATACTCCAAGCGGGATTCTATAAAAATCGTACCCTTTTGGAGTGAAAGCAAAAGGAGTTATATTATTAAAAGAGTTAATTTAATAATTATTATTTCTCTTTTGGAGTTGAATTTTAATTCCAAAAATTTTACTCTTAACTCCAGTGGCTATTAATTCCCCAAAATTTTTACAGTATATTTTTATTATTAATATTATGAGATTAATTATTATGATTCGATGAATTAATCAATAGGTGAATGAATTATTATTGGTTGAATAGTAATAATGTATAATACCGATATTATTTAAAGAAATGTGTAAAATTTATTTTATCGAGAACAATTATATAAATATGATAACAATAGGAATTTTACAAAAATTATTATTAAATATATAATAAAATAAAAAATCGGAAAGTAAAAAACTCACCGATCTGTGGAACGTCGTATTGCCTATTCCCTCTAACCGATCTGAGCATAACTTGCGAAGCAATATTTGGAGGTAGCATAGGTAAATTTTGCTTATGCCGTTTTGATACTCCTCGCGCTTCACGATTTGTCGTTGTTGCTCTATTTCTCATTATTCCAGAGGATTTATCATCCTCGTTGTTCATTGATCCCGAACTACTCTCCTGTTCTCCTCCTCGATCACGAATCATTAACGGTACTACTGAATCAGTTGATTCCTCCTGTATATCCTCATCACTCTCGTTAAATGACGATTTTGCAATAGCCGATCTATCACTAATTCGATTGTCCCGATTATTGAACCGATTGTTATTATTATTTATATTATTATTATTATTAATATTAATATTATTTTTCACAAGTGGACCCTCCACATAGTCATACACTTCCGATTCAATAGGTTCTCTCCTCTCCCAAATTTCTGACAATTTTCTCGTACCATGTTGTTGTTGCCAAAAAAATGGCGTCTCATATTGAATTGGTACACCATGTCTCGTATTATCATCATCATCATCGTTATCATTATTATTATTCTGATGCATAATATTCAATACAGTTGAATATAAATTGTCCAACCATTTGTTTTTGTAATTTAAAGGTTTCAGGATCCTTTCATTATTAAAGACACTCGTTGGGGAATTTTGGGGATTATTATTATTATTATTATTATTATTATTATTATTATTATTATTATTAGTATTTGTTTCCGATTGACCATCGTACAGGTACATGTTATTCCTTAGAGGTACATCGTGTTGATACGACCTCAAATGAAGTGCATTTCCATCAACAGAATTAATATTGCCCACCAATTCAACCATTTTGTCGTGATTTTGATTTCTTTTTTGATCCTGTTCAATGCTTACTGGCCGATTTCCCAAGGCCAATGCAAGCCCCAGTCCCACGTAGCTGAGGAGCCAGAGCATTCGATTCGTCATTTTATGAAATAACAATATTACAGTTCCTTTCCTCTACTACTTTTTTTTTTTTTTTTTTTTATTTTGTCACTCTTTTTTTTGAGTTCGTTAGAGTCGAAAAAATTCACGTTAGGCCGAAGTTTGTTTTTTACACACTCACAATGAATTGGAAAAAAAAGGAAGAGAAGACAGGATCAGGAGGTGGTGGAGGAAGAGGTGGATATAGAAAGATAGAGAGGAAAGAAAAGTTTAATTCTACTTTTGAATTAATAAACTGTTTTCCTTTCACTAGTTTCTTGGAATTTTGATTCGAGAGACGATTATTTTCTTTTTTGATGAAGCGTTAGGCCCTTTTAACGTCCTTCCAATGAGAACGCACGTCCTTCTCTTTCGAGGTAGAAGTGCAGAGTGCTGTTCTGAAATCAGGTGGTTCGATTACAACGTGAGGTGTGCAATGTTATAAACGTATACACTTGACGAAGGTGCTCTAGGTGTGCTGGGGTGCCAATATGGTGCACAGTGCAAAAAAACATTTCCAAACAAAAAAAAAAAAAGAACAATTCCTCCCCCAGAAAAAAAAATGAATCAAAAACACTTATTTTTTTTTTAAAAATCAGTACAAATTTCTCAAGACTCTTCAAAATGTTCAATATATTATCAACATGTTTTTTTTTTGTGGATAAATAATGAAAATATATCTCGAAATATATCACTGATGAGGAGGAAAATTCTCGTTAATGTAACTTTTCACCTCGAACCATCTTACACGCATTGTCCCCCTCACTAATATTTTTTGCGTCCGTATCATTTTTTTTTCCCCTCCCCCGAGAGAAAAGGAGGGAAAGAGAAATATATAGATAAGGAAAAAGTTTTCACAATGCAATTGTTAATGTAATCCTTTTTTGTAAAAATAAAACACAATTACCGTAAACAACAAACAGTTCTGAAAAATACGGTTCTTTTTTTTCTTTATAGAATAGGCAATTAATTGGGCGGAATTAAGTTATTTTTGTACGAATTTACTTTTTTTAAATTTTAATCTTCTTAAAATTTTGTTCGTGCAATAAAAGCGTGCGAAGTATAAAACTGTGCGCTTGTGTGCTAAGGCTGTTTTTTTCGTATATATGAAACCCTGAATTAAAAACACTCGGAACTTTAAATATCACTTTCTATAGTTTTTTACCGTTTTCTTTTTTTTTTAAAAAAAAAAGTCACTTTAAGCTCCTTTCACGTATCCTTAATTTCTTTTTAAGTATTCTCTTAAGGTTTTTAAGTGTCAATTTTTTTTACGTTTCCTTAAATTTTAAAATGTCCTTAAGTTTTAAGTGTCCTTAAATTTTAAGTGTATTTTTAATTGTATTTTTAATTGTATTTTTAAGTGTAATTTTAAGAGTAATTTTAAGAGTAATTTTAAGTGTAATTTTAAGTCTATCTTTAAGTGTATTTTTAAGTATATTACGTGTATTTATATTACGTGTATTTTTACGTGTCCGTAAGATTTCAAGTGTCCTTACTTGTCTTTAAGTGTAACTAAACTTCTTAAGTGTTCTGGATTTCTTTTAAGTGTCCTTAAATTTTTAGTTGCCTAAAAAAATTTAAGTATTCTTTTTTTAATATCTTTTTGTCTCTAAAGAATCCTTAACGTTTTTTCTTTAAATCCTCAAATTTTTAACGAATTCCTAAGAATTTAATGAATTCCTAAGTTCTTGTTGGGTATTTATTCTTGTATGTCTTTACAGTTCATTTAATTTTCAAGTTCCTTTTAAGAATCTTCACATTTTTTTCACGTATACTCAAGTTTTTTTTAAAGCATCCTCAGTTTTATTTTCAAAAGTAACAAAAAATTTAGTGTCTTTAAATTTGTAACATATCTTTAAATTTTATTTTAAATTCGTATTTTTATTTTTAAAATGTGTAAAATTTTAACGCATTTTAAATTTTGTAATGTATCCTCAAGGTTTTTAAAAAATGTCTTTATATATATATATGTATTTTTTAATTGAATTTATAAATACCAACGATGACAACAATAACAACAAAGTGGATTGAACAAACGTGCAAATGTTCTTCCTAGATCAGGTGCTTTCGAGTGACTTTGCTATTTATAGAATGTGGTTTCGTAGTATATAGTAGAGTATCAACAGGTGCTCCAAAAGGTATGTAAAAAATAGTCAGTCACAAAAAATCTAACAGTCAGTGCAAAATGTGAGGAATTGGTGCAAATATATATATATATATATGTTGTATATATAAGAAAAACACGAGTATCGCGATCACCATGAAACGTTGTATATCAATTTTCACGACACAATTACTTTTGAAGTAAAAAAAAAATGAAGAAGAAGAAGAAGAAGAAGAAGAAGAGGAAGTAGAAGAAGGGTGCAATCTCTCAGGTGCCGTTTATGAGAAAATACTTGCTTCTTAAAAATTTGCGATGCCTGATTTTTCCGTCCACTTCCGCCTCCTCCACCTCCACTTTCTTCGTTTCTTCTCCGTTGTCTTATTCACCTTTGCCTCTGTTGTTTTTTGTTAACCTTCGTTTTATCCACCAGTAATCGTGAATATCGTTCTGAACCATCCGAAACCTTGTTTTCAAAAACCGGTGGGAAAAAGAAAATTTATTTTTTTTTTTTGTCTCACAAACTCTCTCTCCCTCTCTTTCTCTCTTGTTCACAATTTTTTCTCTCTCTCTTTCTCTCTTTTTCCCTCTCTTATGAAAAAATCTCCTCAGGCACAGATAATTCACTTTGCACTTTAGAAACACACTGATCCTTTTTTCCTTTCCTTTATTTTAGACAGAGGGTGCAAAAGAAAAACTTTTTTTTTTGTCGCACACAAATGTCTTGCACGCGATAACACCGATAGTCAATAAACGGATGATTCGGCGAGAGGCAAGAATCGAGAGAGAAAGAGAGAGAGAGAGAGAACAAAGAGATGGAAAGTGAGGGAGAGAGAGGTGTGCGTGCAAAAATGTGCTGTGCTGACGTTGTATGTGCTCACACCCTTTCGGCAAACATCAAGAACGTCGGCGACGTCTGCAGCAGAAATCCCATGGGCGGATTGAGTAAAATCATTGTCTCTCTTGTTTGTAGTTTAGCGTCTCTTGGATGATGATTTTCTTTTTTTCTCCTTTTTTTTGACGGGGAAGGAGGGGGTGTAAAAAAATGTTTTTCTTTCAGAGAAAATAAAAAAACACTAATACGGCATATATTTATTTATTTATAAAGGAGAGAGAGAGAGAGATAAATAAAAAACAACTGCGTGACCGTTTTTGACAAACCAACTGATCGAGTGGTTTTGATGATGGAATAATGGTTTCTTTTTTTTTTTTGTGTGTCTTTTTTGGCGTCGTCGTGCGTCTACCGGTTACGGATGACGGTTAGCTTCTAGAAGTTGAGCAGCTGGGCTGGAGCCGAGAAGCAGTAGTTGAGCGGCGGCTGATTTAACGAGAGGAGGTGGTGGTCGGTGAGACCGCGTTGGAGGTTGCTTCTTTGGCAAACGAGAAAGAGAGAGAGAGAGAAAGATGGGGAGAGAGAGAGAGAGAGAGATGATGAGAGGACAGGGGGGCTGGAGAGGGCTTCGGGGCGGTGGGTTTTAGTTTAGCGAGTGAGCCGGCTGGCGCCCTCACCAGAACTAACTCCCACGCTGCGCGGCATAAACTACCATTTTAATACGGCGCACATCCCCCTACACTCGATCCCCCCACTTGTGTGTTTTGCTCACACAGTAAAACCATCCCTCTCTCTTTCTTTTTTCTTTTACTCTCTCTCCGACCTCTCCTTCACCGGAATCCATCTCCTCACCTTCGTCACCCTTTTTACATTCTCCCCTCCACCCAATGACGATGTCGTCGACGACGACGACGACGACACAACTCACCGTCAGCGAGATACTCTCTCCCACACGGATCGTGTTGTGGTTGCCTAACTACGTGTTACGGCTACATTCATAAAACTAGCGGCTCGCAAGAAAACGATGGGGAGCTAGACGCATTGGCTTCTTGGGGGATTTTTCCTCTACTAGAGAAAAAGTGAGAGAGATGAGGGTGAAAACAAGCCACTTAGTAAGAATCCGATGAGATTGTGTCAGAGTTGACTAGACTTGAGGGAGAGGATGCTTTTAGGCATGTGCTCTTTTTGTGCGGATGTGGGCAAAACTAGAAATAAAGAACAATGAGAAGAAAATAAAATATAACGAAATATGTACTCTCTATATTTTAATTAGTTAAAAATAACTAATTTGATACGCGAAAGAAAATATTAGCTACCTTAGCAAAATCTAATTGTTATTAGAACTACTAAATTTTACTAAAAATTAGTAGAAATTTCTGTACTTCAATTTCAATTAATTGACGACTTTTCACTAATAATTCACAATTAGAGAGAAGATTCGCCATATTCAAATAATAATCAAGACATTTGCAAAAAAAAAAAAAAAGAAATCTCTTAATTACGTAATTGATTTCCAGATAAAATTCTTTTAAAAAAATACTGATATAAAAAAAGTATTCATATCTAAAATTGGATGAGTTAATAAAGAATATTGGTCATTCTCTCTTTTTTTCTATTTACTAAAAAAACAGCAGCAGCAAATTTTACCCTTTTTTTATGAAGTTAGGTATATATTTTGAAAATATAGCGAAATTGGCATGAAAAGAGGTGACTCAGACCGCAAAAAAAAGAACTTGGAGAACAGAGTAATTGGTCTAAAGTGGTAAATTGAATATTAGAGGTAAATAAAAGCAACCGTAAATTTAATAGTTTTGTGGCAAAAAAAAAATTATACAAAAATGTTCAAAAAATACAGTAAACTCTTCAATATTTGGAAAAATATAATAAAAATATAATATAATTCAAATTTTTTAAATATATTTTACTCTTTTCATTCACTTAATTATAAATTTTTCCATAATATATGTTGACCATTTCCATAATTTTTTTTTTCTTTTTGACCACTCCGTATAGCAAATAGAATGGCCAATATTGCTTCGTACCCACTCAATACAAACATCAACGTTCTGATCGAGTGAATTTCATTTTTGTAAATAATATATCGACAAAGGGGAGAAAAGAGATTTATATTTTATGGAAACTTGGCTCAATTCTAAAGTGGTTACTGTATATATTCACGGATTTTAAAATGAAATGACTTGTCATCGCTTATATGAGTAAACAACCCACGATTAATTTTATTGCTTATTAAATGCCAAAATTATTTATTTGTATTTTGCATTATAATAATAATAATAAAATAATCATAACACAATAAATTATATTTTACAACTTAAAAAGTTGAATGAAGAAATAATGTTTATCTCTAAATAGAAAAGCTTTTTTTTTAAAAAAAATCTTTCTACAATTAAAAACGACAGCGCAATTATAATTAAAATTTAAAGAAATTTTCCAGTAAAAGTATTTTAAACCGTTTTAATTACAACCACCACAAAATTCAGAGAAATTATTAGAGCATATTTAATTTGCATAACAAAAATGAACCTATAAAATAACTAACACCTTTTTTTTTTATTACTGCCGCGTGAATCAAATTATCGTTAAAATATGCAAATTTTCACTTTCAGTTAGTAATTGTTAAAAGGAATGATTAATTATCATTCAATTAAATTCTTATTCATTTATAATGTGTAAATAAATGGTATAAAATTGAAAGTAATTAGAATGTCTTATTTATTCACAAGGAATTTCGAATCGCGTGTTTTCAATTGGATTTATTCAATTTTTATATCTATATACAAACGTGTATCGTAGAAAAAGATAGAAAAAAGAATAAAAGAAATCGAGGAAAGAAAATGAATAGAAAAGAAGAACGTTACAAAAAAGATAAACTAAATCTGACTTCAGAGCTAATCGACCATCGGTATTTTTATTTCCACTTAATGCTAACTTTATTTTCGCAAAACGAATGCTTTCATTCCAAAGAGTGAGGGTAATTTGATTTATTATTTTCTCACGATAAAAAATATTTTAATGAAAAAATAAAATTCTTATTTAAAAATTTTTTCTTTAAATAAAAAAATTTTTATTAATAAAATTTTATTTTTTCCTATTTTTTTATTTTCTTATCTAATTTTCAATAGCAATAGTAGCAAAAAAAATATAATAAACATCCCTGACTGACACGAAAATTACGTAATTCATCAAGTATACTCGAATGTTATGATAATTCGTCGAGATATATACAATTTGTCTCGCAAGAATTGAATAAGTTTGGAATCCTTCCAAATATTATATATGTATACATATCACTTGGAAATTGTTGGTAACATTTTAAGTTAATTACAAAAAAGTCGATATATTCTTCAATTGTTAAAAAAAACTGTAGAATATAATTTATAGAAAAAAAAACAGCGATGAAAAGAATCGAAAATTTACAACCATTTCCTAAATGAAAGACAAAATCAATTTTTTAAGAATGGGTGGAGAAAAAAATGACGAAAAAGAAAGAAAGAGAGAGAAAGAGAGAGGGAGAGAGAAATTGACTTCAGGAAAATATAGAAGTCAGAAATTATCGATCCACTAAATATCTACCAAAGATTTCCCACAGGAAAAACTACAAACGTTTCATGGTGCGTGGGACGTTTTAATCGCGATATGTCATTCTTGTAAAGGATTGTTATGAAAAAAGTTTGAGGGCGAAAGCAAACAATTGGCTTTTTAATGCTCAAACATGACAAGTAAAAAGCTTTTTAAATTTAATGCTCTTGTCATTAAATTGTCACAAAATATTTAACAATAAAATAATTCTCTTACAATGAAAAAAAAATTTATTTGTTTCAAATAAAAATTATTTGTATTAAATAAAAAAAAAAACTTTGAAAAAGAATATTCTTGTTTTGAGAGAATAATGTGAAAGACTATCAGAAAACGAAATTTTTCTTTAAGAAATAAGATTAATTTTTTCTTTATAAGGGCTTTAAACAGATACTATTCACATAATTTTTTCAGGCGATTATCAAATATTATGAAATTGATTAAAATTATTTCGATAATTGTGGGTCAAATTGAGTCAATGTCGATTGGTCTATGTTTGACCGAGATATCGATGGCAGAATGTTATGTAGAACATTGCAATAGCAACCTGACATCAATTATAAAATATTGATATTTAAGAATATAAGAAAAAATCCAACAACAAATATATTCGAATGTATAATTTAACTTTTCATTAATTTTAACTTAAACTTTAAAATAACTGCCAATTTAATAAATGCGAGAATGAAAGAAAGAATAAGGAAAGAAAGAAAGAAAGTTTCCCCCCCCCCCAAAAAAAAACTTTAAAAGACAATCCTATATTTTATAATCGTTAAGGAAATACACCCACGAAAATAATTATCGTAAAAAGTTTTCACAACTTTTATGATTTTCTCGTCAAGAAAAGAGTGTGCAGAAATTTTTATTTCTCTTGTTTCTTTGAGTAGGCGCATCAGTGTTGTAAAAACTTTTCCATTCTCGAAAAGAGCTTTTGTAATTTATTCCATCCTTAAGTAAAATTTTATTATTGTAATCAGAGCAAGTAAAATAAAATTTAATGATTCAATGTTTACTTTCAAAGTAATGTACTTTATAATATATAAACAAGAAATTTTCTTTAAAGTATTTTCAACAATATAGAAAATATATTTTCAAAACGGCATTTATCCCTATATAAAATCATTTTTTCGAAATATAAAAAAAATTTTAAAAACGTGAAAACGTAATTTTTTTTACCCTAATAATTTGAAAAAAAATCTGAGAAGATTTACTCATTTGAAAATTAATTTTTATGTATACGCAGGAAGTAGGAAAAAAAAAATTTTTTTAACTGAAAATCAAATAGAATTCATTCAACAGAATTTTTTTTAAATTGAAGAAAACCAGTGATGCAAGAGTTCCTTTTGAGTTATAAGGCAATTTTTCTTGAATTAAAGATTTCTTTTCTAAGAATATCTCTATGTATGGCTTTTATTATCTTCAAGTACACCTTACATTTTTTATTTCTCAAGTTTCTATAATTCTCTTATATAATTTTTATTTTTAGCCTCAAGTTTTCTCTATAATTAATTGACAATCATTTTTTTTTTTTTTTATATAAATTTATAGAAAAATGAAAAACAAATATTTATATTTAGCATTGAGATAAATATTAATATTTTTTCTCTGATTATGTTTCTTTGAGTAATTGAAAAAAATTTTTTGATTTAAAGAATTTTTTTTTCAATTAAAAAATGCAAATGTTAAAAATTGAATAAAGATTCTTTTTTGAAAAATTTCGCAGAGACCTTGACATTGAACATTGAAACAAGACATTGCGCCAAAGAAGAATTTATATATACGAAAAATTTTTGTAACTATATCCCGTCGTGAATCATCTATATAACTATTTTTAAGCTCCTACAAATTTCGTGAAAATCACGTGAGTTGAGTGATTCGAGGGTATAAAGTACCATCGTCGGAAATCACATTGAGTAATCGTGATGGATGGTAGAGGGAAAGACGCGGGTATTTGATTCCTGACTAAAGGAGTATAATGGACGAAAGTTGAGCGGACACAGTATTTCTTGGATTACGTGGGCGTCGAAAAACGGAGGCAGAACGGCGTCGAGGCGCCGTCAATGGAACTAAGATACAGTTATCGAAAAAGAGAGAGAGAGAAAA